TGGCCGTTTATAAACAGCCTCCCCACTCCCTGCTTGTGCGCGCCCCCTGGGAGCGTGCAGCACTGCGATCCGGTGCCCGCTGTGTCCTCCGGACACAGTGGAACACCGGTCGTTGTACAGGACCTCTGTGTGAGGTCCCGATCATGTGATCACTGATTGGCCAATCAGTGATCACATGAAGAGTAGTAAGCAAAATGTCACTTCTGACATCATTGCTTACTACGTGTGAAATCTGTGAATGATCACAGAGATCACATGGTACAAGGCTATTCACAACAGCCTTCTACCATGTGACAAGCTGTGACCAATCACAGCTCACAAAGTATTTCTCAATGGCTGCAAGAATGCAGCCAGAGAGAAGGAGAAATTGTTGCTTTTACAGACTTTATGGGTATAAAAGCAATCAGTGTAAAAAAATAAAAAACAAATCTTCATCACCCCCAACAAGTAGTACAGTGTCACTATGGTGACACTGTACTGCTAGGGTGACAGTATGTAAAAAAAAAAAACATAAATAATAATCTAAAAAAAAAATAAAATAAAAATGTAAAAAAAGCTCGCTGCTTACGCAGACGACATCCTTCTCTTCCTTGCTGATCCACACACCACTTTGCCTAATCTGTTAAAGGAATTTGCCCTCTTTCGATTCTTGTCAAACTTTAAAATCAACTTCTCCAAATCTTTTGCCCTTAACATATCCCTGCCTCCAGAACTCGTCTCTTTCTGTGAATCTCATTTCCCGTTTCGCTGGGAAAAGGATTCCCTTCCATATCTCGGCGTCCATCTTACCCGCAACCTCGATGACCTCTATGCAAAAAACTTCCTTCCCGCTCTACGTTCTCTCCAAGAGGACCTCCACAAATGGCATCGTCCTTGTTTCTCTTGGTTTGGAAGGGCAGCTATAATCAAAATGAACATACTCCCACGCCTTCTCTATCTTTTTCAAACGCTGCCAATCCACATACCTGCTGCTTTTTTTACATCTTGTAAAAAATTCTGCACACAATTCCTGTGGAATCATAAGCGTCCACGTATTGCTTTTTCTCAACTGACTCTCCCCAAACTTAGAGGTGGAATTGGGCTCCCCGACCTTCACCGGTACTACTGGGCATGCCACCTTACACGCATAGTGGACTGGCATGTTCATTCTACCTCTAAAGACTGGGTCTGCCTAGAAAATGCCTTCTCACCCTCACCCCTGACATCGATTCCATGGTTACTGCCAAAGCATACACCTCAAGAGCTCCTCACCCACCCTTTAGTGGGGCCCAGCTTAAATATATCTCCGCCTGAACTGTAAAACGGTATCTATCTCCGAGTCACCGAATTCCTTAACCTCCATTCGTCTCAATCCTGACTTCCCCCCAGGCATGCACAAGTCATTCCTATCTGAGCATTGGCCACATGACCAGATCTTAGTTAAACACTTTATCCGCGGTGGAAAAGTAATATCGTTCCGCGAACTGCTTGATAGCCTAGATAGTCGAGATTTTCCTTTTTGGGCCTTTCTGCAGATAAGACACTTCCTGCTCTCACACAAACTGTTCCATAACTGGACTCGTCCCCTCACTCCTTTTGAATCCCTATGCTCTAGAGCTGAACCGCGCAAACATTTGATTTCGGCGATTTACCCTCTCCTTGTTGAGAGTAGGGATTATAACTCTTTACCCTCCTGCCGTGCTTGGAACAGAGACTTGGGAAACAGCTTTTTGGACGCCGATTGGGACCTAATATTTATGCATACTCATAAATGCTCCCTCAATGTCTCAACTCAGGAAAATGGATATAAAATTGCTTCGAGATGGTACCGAACTCCGTCGAGAATCTCTCGTTTTAATCCTTCCGTCCCCAATAGCTGTTGGAGATGTGGAACCTCGGATGGATCCTTTCTCCACATTTGGTGGTCTTGTCCCAATATCCAACCATTTTGGCAGGAGGTCCACCGGCTTGTAGTGTCTGTGACCACCTTGTCCCTGGCTTTCTCTCCAGAGCAGTTTCTTCTCCATCACTCCTCTCTGCCCAGGGGACAATACCTCAAATCTTTAGCAATGCATATGGTCAACGCGGCCAGACTCTGTCTTCCCACTCTTTGGGGCTCCACCCGCCCTCCCTCCATACGCGATTGGCTGATCCGTGTGGGTAAAATTGCGGAAATGGAAGAACTGATTGCGACCGCACTCGATTCCCCCACTAAATTCTCCCATGCTTGGGCCTGCTGGAATCACTTTAAAACTACTTCTACGTACCGGTCCTTTATGAACCGTCCAACCAACACGCCTGATTGATTACTAATCTCCATTGTATGTTACTCCACACTCTGGATCATACGGTAGGCGACTTCCCCACTTTCAGGGCTCCATCTCCACCTACGGGCCCCGGTTAATAGACTTTTGCTCAAATCCACCCATAAAAGACCCTTGGTGTTGACGACAATACAAACCCAGCTCCCCCCCCTTCACACCCCCCCCCCCCCCCCCCCCCCCCCCTTTGTTTTTTTTTTTTGTTTTTTTTTTTTTTTTTTTTTTTTTTTTTTTTTTTTTTTTTTGTTTTTTTTTTTTTTTTTCTTCTTCTTTTCTTGTTCTCCTCCTCTTTCTTCTTATTTTCTTGTTACTCGCCCAGTTAATCACTGGGTTCCTCTTTAGAGAACATTAGGCATGCCATTGTCATATTTACCTTGCTTACATTAGCGACCCTCACGACAATCTAAGCTTACTTACTGGTACCATCACTCCAGTAAAACGCTAGCTTCATCCTCAACGGTTGTGCTGCATCTACCCTGCCTCCTTCTGCGGCGCTATAATGAGAATTACATACTAAGAAGGTCCGATGCGATAACCTTCCCATGCGCACTACTAGACTGCCTGAGTATTACAGACTTACCCCGTCGTGGACTGGCACATCCATGCTCCTTATGTGGTTCTTTGTAAGAATATTCCTACTTTCTCCTGACATGCACTGCCAAATGTTGTATATGACCATCATTTGCTTTTCTTTTGTATTATTATGCACTTTTTCAATAAACGTTTTTTTTTTTGAAAAAAAAAAATGTAAAAAAAGTTTTTGAAAAATTATACATTTTGGTTATAAACTAATTTGGGTTATTTTTTTTACTAAAAAGATAACTGAATACATTTTGGCCAAGATTATGAAGAAAGATTATTTATTTGCAAAATGTTATAAGAAAAACACTTTTTTTTTTCAAAATTTTTGAACTTTTTCATTTATATAGCAAAAAAATTATAAAAATCCTAGTGGTGAATAAATACCACCAAAATAAAGTTTTATCTGTCTCAAAAAAATGCTAAAAAATTCATATGGGTACAGTGTTGCATGACCGCACAATTGTCATTCAAAGTGTGATAGCACTGAAAGCTGAAAATTGGCCTTGCCAGGAAGGGGGTAAAAGTGTCCGGACTTGAAGTGGCCAAGTAGTTCCAGACCTTGGGTATGCTACACATACCCAAAGAAAACTTCATCATTGCACACATGACGTGTGCAGCATGCCCAGTTCTTCTGCCTTGTTCCCAGGGGCGGACTGATCATTTGGAAATTCAGGCACTGCCAGAGGGCCCATGAGATGCCCCTGGTACCTTTCATAGGCTTTTTTGGGTGTGGTTTGAGTGTGGGCGAGGACACAGGGGCCCCATGATCCTCTGTTGCCCGGTGGCCCCATGAGTTTTCAGTCTGCCCCTGCTTGCTTCCCTCTCCCAATACATAGCAATTCATCTGTGAATAATGAAAGCCACGTTGCTGTGTCCTGCTTTGGCTGTTAAAAAGGCAGTAATGTATATAAATGTATATAAATAACACTAGCTCAGATGCTACAGAAAGATACAATGTAACATTGTATTGTAACAAAAACGCAAAACAGAAGGGTTTTTTTTTCTGCCTCTAAACGCTGAGCTTAAAAAACACCTCTAGACTACCTAATGTGCATGAACACATAGGATAACATTAGTTGCTTCTACAGGCAAAACGCTAAACTCCTCTAGGAGCAGCGTTTTTTTTTTTTTTTCAAGCCAGTGTTCATGGAGCCTAAAGCAACCTGACAAGTAAAAAAAATATCTTTTTTAATAAAATGTTCCTCTGTTTAAGCCCTTATTAACCCTTACTTTACTCTACCCCCAATTAACTCATTCTTCTTATCAATTCAATTATTATTTTCCTTATGATTTTTTTGTTTATTTCTATTTTATTATCCATTGATATTTAAACTTTTTCTGTCTGTTTTGTTTGTTATTTATTTTTACACTTTTAACATATATTTACACATTCCACATTTTAAAAAGTGCAAAATTATAAAAACAAACACTTTATTTCATTTGTAAATAACTTTGTACCAGAATCATAATTTTATTTAAACAGGACAAATTACAGAATAAAATGCACACTTTTTTATTGCAGCAACACTATTTATTTTTACACTAACACTGGTAAAAAAAGAGTGTTTTTGCTTAGTTTTGTTACGTTTAATTGTCTAAGGATTCAAAAAAAAAAATTGTTGCAAAGAATGATTATGAAAAAAAAAGCCTTGTTTTTTCTTAAAAAAAATATGTATTACCTTGTTATCTTAAGTAATGACAAAATTATTGCCAAAATAACCAGGTCCACAGCAGAATTATAAAAATTGCTCTGGTCCATAGGGGATAAACAAGTGCGAGAGGCAAAAAAGTCAAATAAAAGTCTTGCATAATTACTTATCATTATAAATGGATGCATGTAACTAAAATCATCAGTCAGTAAAAAAATTAATTGATCCTTGTCCTACATGCAAGTCCACTTTTTAGGCACTTGTAGGAATGTCCTATATAAAATCACCGTAGTGAAAAGTCTTTACTGCGAAGTAGTAGGAAACTGAAATGTATTAAAATCTTAATTCTTCTAAATTCTTAAAAATTCTAATCCTTCTAAAGCTCCCCAGCTGGAAATTCTTTTGTTAAACCTTTTTCTTTTGTAAATCAAAAACAAGATCATACCTGGGATGAATACAGATCTAAACTTCGGAATGGGTTAACGGCGACAAGAATGTCCCCAACATAAGTATATATCTGATCCCTGTTGTAGCGGTTTTGTAGCTGGTCTGTCACAGAATTCTATGATACAAAATAAATAGCAATATTTAAATCCAATGTTAAGAGGAGCAAACATTTCAATGAGTTAAATACAGTCAGACACTTTCCCAACATGCAGCGCTATTTGCAATTGTCTAAATACAAAAGGGAATTGACCTAATTATTGCAGATAGCCAGCTTTGTGCCCCTTGATTTCAGTCTGTCAAAATCAAGAGTGCAACAGTGAAGAAGGGGGGTTATGTTAAAAAATATTAAACCTCTGAATTTTTGATGCAAATTTACATCAGCACTACTTTAAGAAAACAAGGCACAAAGCTATGAAAAAAATTAATTCTTAAAGAACAATTTTACAGCCTCATTCATTCCTATATCTGGTCCTTAAGTTGGTCACAAAATAATCAAAAATGTGCCAGTTCAGCAGGGGCCAGGCAAATTTTGATCAGTGTGTGGGCTTGACAGAAGTCGATTGTTTAATTGACTTCTGTTGAAGAGAAAAAAGTTGGAAAACTTTCCATCGATTAACAGCTGCAGCCAGGTGCCGTTGTCAGAATACAAATTCCCAGTGGGCAGGATTCCTCCATCCACCTTGTCTGTATGGGTAGAAAAAAAATTTTTTTTTTTCATTCAGCCAGCTAATTGTGCATGGCTGGCTTTATTAATGGTGGACATAGTCGTTCAAAGGAGTTCAAAGTGAAGTGCATCATGCAGGTAGGCCCAGTCAATAAAAAGAATGAGACCATGGGACATTTTATCAGGGGTTCTCCATTATATCTACATTCAATCTACACTCAGGGAGTTCGAAAAGCTTTAAAGAACAACTTCACTAAATGTGAAGTCATTCTACAAAACTAATTTTGAACATGATATAATGATACTGTATAATCTTTTCAAGCACAACATTGTGTGCTGTAAATTACCAGTCATCTATAATCTGACAAAAACAGATATTAAGTCATTAATTGGTTTCCAAGTGTAAAGGCCCAGTTTGACAGGCAGCAAGCTGGGACTCCAACCAAAATTGTTCTTCAATAAAGTTAGAAGTGTTTGAAGCTCTCTCAGGATTTCGGTGTTAGAGTAGAAAAAGAAAGGAATCCAGATCCAAAGAATGTTTTTTCTTACTAGATGCTTTATTTGATTATTGCAATCATAGCTAGGGTGTTTTGGGGTTTAGTTACATATCCCTTTTATCAGGGCTCAAAATGAGAATTATTAGTGTAAAATGCAAGGTGCCATCACTGGTAACACTCTTGACCCTGTACTGGTAAAATCAGACCTTGCAGTATAATGAAAGGTCCATTTACCAGATCCATGCTCACCCCCCTTGTAGCCTAATTCTACATAAAAAATGAACCTGAAAAAAAAGTTAGATTATATAAGCAGGGTTGGATGTCACCGTCCATTCAGCTAGATTGTTGGCAAATAGCGATTGGCTTGATGTTCGAGTCGAACGTAAATTCAACTAGAACATCGGCCGTTCGTGTGTTCGCCGTACACATGAATGGCAAGGGTGTTCAGCAGGCTGTTTGCCCCACAATGCAATGCGCTCTCACAGTGCATTGTGATTGGCCAAAGCAATACACCTGACCACAGAACAAGACGTTAGTGGAAATTGCTTGAAAGTGAAGGCAATTCTGGTCTTAGACAGTTGTCACCAGAACAAGAAATAAAAGGAAATCTCTTGAAAGTGAGGGGATTTCTGATCTAGAAAGTTGTCACCAGAACAAGTGTCTCAATTGAAAGATTTAACCTCAACTCTTTTTTTAGTGACTACTTTTAACTTTTGGATTTACCATCACCTTTGTGATAAGGAGATAAAGGTCACTAGGACAGAGAACGTAAATCTCCACAACGCACATTAAAAAAACACTTACGCCTATGGCATTTGATAACATATTAAAAGAAATGCAATCCTACCTCATCTAAAACTTCCAAGGCTGCCAGATCATCCACATCATTCTGGTTGGGTGTCATAGACTCTCTGAAAATCCCCTTTTTCGTATGAATCCGCTCATGCCTAAAGAGTAAGCAATAAACTTTCCTCAGGGATTCAAGAAATAGAACAGGAATCAACTTCAGACAACAGGGGAAAAAGGGATAAATACTCCTTTGTGACACTCAGAAAAAATTGATTCCGCATTAGGAGAGAAATAAATGTGGGAATCCAATTTTCGGAGGAATTCTTTGCAGAAACCCAGTCTGTTTTCTCATCTAGAACACCCTGTGAGGCTCTAAGTAAAAGAGGCTCATTTACAGTCAAATGATATACTTAGCAGAATATAGCTCAGGTGCTTGAGTCCTGGTAACAGAATATGTTTTGAATAAATACAAATTGTATTGAAACATATCAGGCTTCAATGTGCAATAAACCTCAGTCATGGCTAACATCAGTCAGAAACTCTTACTGTTTCATCCCATAAAATGTAATTCGTGAATGGAAAAACCTTTACGGGAATGGGATATAAAATTTCAGGGCCTGTTCATCAAGAAAAGTTGAAGTCAAATAATTTGACTCATCTGCTACTTATAAAGCAGCGAAAAACAATCTAGCAAATTATGTGAAATAGAAAACCATAGACAAGTGACAGCAGTAAAATGTGGTCAATTGAGTCTGCTCCATTAAAAAAAAATTATATATATAACATATACAGTATATATATATATATATATATATATATATATATATACACAGTATATATACACACTATATTGCCAGATGTATTGGGACGTCTGCCTTTACACGCACATGAACTGGCATCCCAGTTCTAGTCTGTAGGGTTCAATATTGAGTTGGCCCACCATTTGCAAGAAAAACAGCTTCTGGGAAGGCTGTCCACAAATTGTAGGAGTGTGTCTATGGGAATGTTTAACCATTCTTTCAGAAGCACATTTGTGAGGTCAGGCACTAATTCATCTCAAAGGTATTCTATCTGCTTAAGGTCAGGACTCTGTGCAGGCCAGTCAAGTTCCTCCACCCAAAACATGATCATCCATGTCGTTATGGACCTTGCTTTGTGCACTGGTGCGCAGTCATGTTGGAACATGCAACTGTCCAAAATGTTTTGGTAGGCTGACACCTTAAAACAGAGATCCACCCAAAAGGGGAAGTTCTACTTTAAGGCTTTTTCCCCCGCTCCCCATTAAGGATTAGCACCTTTGGGAGAGAGCCGGTAGCCGAATCTGACAGGTACCCTCTTCTGCTGCGATCACCTAAGGTGATCAGAAGTGGAAGTTGTCCTCCCCCTCCCTCCCGTAGTCTTCTGGGACACGTGACAGGTCCCAGAAGATGACGGGGCCATTCACAAAGCCCAGTGCTTCTCACGCATACACAGTGGGCACTTGGTTGTGAAGCTGCAAGCTGTCACAGCCGGGTGCCCACACTGAAGTTGCTAGCGCCCGGGAGGGAAGACAGCCGGTGAAAACAGCCAGGGTGATGACACCGCTGAACACCGAGGAACAGGTAAGGCTGGCCATACATTATACAATTATCTTCCAATTTTCTGCCCAATTTCCTTTAGATTTACCTTAAACTGTGTAGTGCAAGGCCTGCCTAATTGGATACAACTGAAAGTGTTGTTTAGGTTTGTCCTCCTATTATATGGTTTTTGGTAAATCTAAACCAAAAATCTCCAGATAATCCTTTAATGTATGGCCAGCCTAAGTATCTGTAGTTTAAAAGTCAGTAGCTACAGTTTTTGTAGCTGCTGACTTTTTTTTTAAACTGGAACTCTGCTTTAAGAGTTCCCTTTAAGAGTTCCCAGCCCAACTCCTGAAAAACAAACGCCAAAGTCCCCCCTCCAAACTTTACACTTGGCACAATGCAGTCAGGCAAGTACCGCTCTCTGGCAAATGCCAAAGCCAGACACATCCATCAGATTGCCAGACAGAGAAGCGTGTTAGGTCACTCCAGAGAACACCTCTCCACTGCTCTAGAGGCTAGTGGCAGAGTGCTTTACACCACGGGCATCCGACACTTTGCATTGCACTTGGGGATGTAAGGCTTGGATGCACCTGCTCGGTCATGGAAACCCATTCCATGAAACTCTCTACACACTATTGTTGTGCTAATCTGAAAGCTACATGAAGTTTGGAGGTATTTAGCTATCGACTCTGCATACAGTTGGCGACTTCTGCTCACTGTGCGCTTCAGCATGTGCTGACCCCGCTCTGTCATTTTACTCTGGCCTACCACTTCATGGCTGAGTTGCTGACCAGGTGGGCTCTGAGAGAGTTTGCGGGCTGCTTGATGGTGTATGCAGAACCTGACTCTCATTCCAGGGGATTTCTGGAGCTGTAAAGGAGTGTCTTTCCCTTTCTCACTGGGCGGGGGGGGTGACCAGTGTATGGAGGGTGGTGGTAGTGGAAGGCTTTCTCGGGTGGGGGTGGTGGGTTGGTCGGGGGACGGGGTGGAGGGGGCGGTGTTGGTTGGTGTCAGGCTCTCTCTGCAGGGGGGTGGGCGGCCAACTTTTGTGTTGCCTAGGGCAGCACAAAACTTTAATACACCACTGAGCAGGAGGGGCATGTCCCCATTGGTTCATCCTTAGTGCAGCTTAGTCCAGAGACCCGAAGCTAGTAACACCCACACAGCAATAAGTTCAGCAGCAGGAAGAGACCATGTCAGCCCTACAGAGTAGAATTCTATAAAGTCTAGCAGCCTGCCTGGACTTACTTCATCTTCATTTCAGGTAAGTAAATTAACTAAAGCTCTGTAGAGAAACATTTTGAATTAAAAATTAATTTTTTTATATTAAAATAATTCGAAAGGTGAAAAAAAAATAACAAACATGTTATACTTACCTGCTCTGTGATTCTCTTCTATTTGGGTACCCTGCTCCCCCTTGATGAGTGCCCCCAGTAGCAAGCCTCTTGCTATGGGGGCATTCATGCAGGCTCACCTCTGAGCCGTGCTCCTGTGAATGGACATTGTCCATTCATGTGGCTCAGCCTTGCCCCCCATTCTCTCCTTATTGGCTCACTGACTGTGATTGACAGCAACAGGAGCCAATGGCTCCTGCAGCTGTGTGGGCCAATGAGGAGAGAGAGACCCGGGAGAGATTCAGTTCTCATGCACATCGCTTGATTGGGATCAGGCTCAGGTAAGTATAGTGGGGAGCTGGGGGGAAGCTGTACCCAGAAGGTTTTTTACCTTCATGCATAGAATACATGAAGGTAAAAAAAACCTTCTGCCTTTAGAAACACTTTAATGTTTTTACAGTGTTTTAATTTAAAGTCAGCTTTAAACCCAAATCTAGTCAATTTACAACAGAGCAGTGCAACACAATGCATATGCCATGAAATGTGGTATGCGTGGTGCACTGAAAACTCAGGAACATGTGTTTTATCTGTTCCATTAAGGTGTGTTGATAACCCATTTATAATAAAAGGGCTGCCTTAACACAACAAACATTAACCCATGACCTAAGGATCCGTAAAAGTGTAATTGGGCCCTTTGAGTGGGGAAGGGCCCCAGACAGGTGACATTTATTTCCTAAATATATTTGTATGTTTTAATTAAATATGTTCTCTTCTTTAGACAATACTCTTTATAATGTCTTTGTAATTCGGCAGTCACAATAAAAACTGTTTTTTACCTCTTTTTCTCCATTATCCCCATTTGCTGGTGGATGTCTATGAATTCCATTAGCTGCTTTTGAAGCACTCTTTCATTATGTCTAATTTGCCTAATAAATGCATGTTCCAAAAGATCACACACTGTGGGGCGTTTCTCAAAGTCTTTTACGAGGCACCTGAATGATCAAAGAAATGGGAAAAATCAGAATAAAAAATTCAGTTCACTTTTCTCCTGACACCTTTACATGATATGGAGATCTGGATTCTGGGCCACCATCAGGTGACCTGGCAAGACTTTTACATAGGGGAATATAGGTTATAACTATCATAATATATATACAGCAGGGTAAACAATGCAGGTAACAAGAAAAAAATTTTGATTTCTTCCATAATTTGATCATTTCCTGGAAATATAACTAGAAAGAAAAGGCACCCATAGGTTACAAAACAATTTTGGATAGACTTAGCATTTAATGATAATATTAGAGATATCAATCATTCATTTACAAGTTGAAATCACTCCACAAAGGTGACCTAAATATAGGTTTTAGCCATCCACAAGGTTCTGATTTGCATAATTTTGCCTGAATCTGCACCTGTTATTTTGCTTGCATGGAAACACCACTTTTTTCCTAGAATTTGCATTGAAACATTTGCATCCTCATACTAAAAATCTGCATCCAGGGCCATATTTCCATCACTTGGGCTGTATTTGTGGCACCCAAAGCAGCAACCCACTGATAGAATCATCTCTTATACACATAATATTTTCTTGTTTAACTGGTCCTAACTTGGCTTACCATATTGTGACAATGTGTAAATATGTTTATACGAGATGAAAGTATTTCCACTGGAAAAACAATGTGTATCATGCTAACTGTACAGGGACTGAGTATACCCAGCATGATCATCACTGCTATAGTCCCATGACTAACTATTGCTTCTAGAAGTAAAAATAAATGGAACTTCTTAGGTAGGTTGCTGGAGCCCTCAATAATAGTTAAGGATTGAATTTCAACTAATTCATTATTTATTCAAAACAAAAAGTGTTTACAAATAGGCCAGAAGAACTAGGCCTCAGCTTGTGCAACTTGTGAACAATGTCAGTACCTAGACAGAGGATGGCTGATTCAGTAGAATGTCAGTGACAACTTAATTGGCTGGAAATTGAGACTCTCTCACATGATCTGTGGCATCGTCTCATCACTGGTGGTCTCGCTGTAGATGGGGGCCCCCAGCGGTCCTGCGGTTCCCTCTGTAGAGTTCACTAGTGTGCAGCACTCCAGGTCACCGGCTGACTGGGTAGTTCTCCAAATTCATTGACAATATCAGTGGTTGGCTGTTCTTCCCTCTTTCTCCACTCTCTCTCTGTATGTGGCCTGGTCTGGTCCTCCAGGGTTCTGCACAGCTTTCTCCTCACATTTTCCTTCCAACTCTCTCCTGCCTCACTTCCTGCCCCTGTTCCTGGGCTTCTCCATTTATATGCCTCGGCCCCACATGTCAGCTCCTTTGGGAAATGTAGTCCCCCAATTCCCAGCCTTCTAAAAAAGTCTGGCGGTTCAACCTACAAAATCCATAAAGCTTTTCACCAGAGTTTGTACCACTGAGTTGCAGAACACCTTGTATGTCTTTTAACATCCTGCAGTCCAAATAATAGCAGAGTGTTACACATTTATAAAGTAAAGCAATGTGTTTTGTAATATGAGTTCTGTGGTTTGCCAGTTTCAGGACTCTGAAGGCAATAAAAATAAATGAGTATTCAAAAGAAAAAAAAGCCAGAAGAGCCCAGTCATGCGACCTGTCAAACTACATGACCGGCTCTGCTTCAATCATGGAGCTCATTTGCCTAATGATGTTGGATTTCACCAGCTACACATTGCAGGAAAATGTTTATGAATGGGTGGGTCATGGTATGCACAGAGAAGTGTAGTATAATGGAGAGCTGATTTTGATATCCATTTGCCTTCATAAATAATATTCTTAGTCTTTACAGAATACATAGGGTACTCAAGACCTACCCCACTTTTACTTTTCACAGTCAAGAATCTTGGTAGTAGATTATCTTAATCTATTTGGTCATTTTGGTGATTCATAGCTGATATTTTGGCTTTTTTATGAGTAGCAATGCAAACATACATATGTTTTTTGCATAATTGGACAATTATATATGCAATATGTTCTTAGCTGTGAGAAAAAGCACCTGGAAGAAGCAAACAAGGGGAGAACATAAGTTCTATTGAAAGAGTGCCTTGATGGGAACAGAACTCAGAACATGAAGTTTTATGTCATCATACACAATGACCCACCTGACAGCCACCTGGAGGATTCAGGATTTGATCCCTGAGGCAACAATAGTGACCTTTTATACTCAGCAGGAGGACAAGGGTTTTCTCTACCTGTGATGTGTGCCTTACCCCATGGGGTGACCACAACCTCACTAGGGGTGTGTTATTCTGTTTTTCTCTGAACCATACTATGGGTCCTCGTTCTGCTTCTTCAGTTTGGCCTTCTGAAGCTCTGCAGATCATGACCTCTCGTTTCCAGGACTCAGAATGCCAACTGCCACAGCGGCCACAATGCTAGTCTCTTGCTTATACAGGTTTTCTACATGTTTAGAAAGGCTGTGTTATGTCATGCTTCAAACTTTTGATGTCACATTTTTCTGTAACTCTAGCTATAAGCTGCATAGTTTATCTTTTAAATGAGAACTTCATTGATAATTGGGTTAACAACTCCTCTCATAATTGTGAGAAATACCAAATGGGATTAACAGCTATACATTATTAGGATACTTTGCCACTTTCTATTACATTGTATACTATGCATTCAGTCTTCATTCATGTTTTCATATGAGGAAACTATGCTTTGTAATATGTCTAGAAATAGGATTTAGTTGATCTTCACCTTCTAGTTTATCTTAAAGTAAAAAAAATGTAGCCTAAAACAAAAATTCTGAAATGCAGATACGTTTTGGTTCTGTAAGTGTCTGAATGGATCCTCATATTACTACTTTTCACCCTGTGGTGTCCCTTGGATTCTAGAACCAAACAGTACATGGGGCATTGAATTCTCTCCAAGCTGATAATAAACTGATATTAAACCCCACTTAGGGTTGCTACTAAGTTGTCCCAGAAAAATAGGTAAGTGGACAGCTAAGAAGGGATTCCCATTACTTTGGGATATTTTCTGTAAGTACCTATTGTGTCTATGGTACAGGAAGTGAAGGGAAATCTCTCCAATATGACACAGACAGCAAAAGAAAAAACTGGCAGGGGGTTAATTTTTCCCTACTCTACCAAAAACTAAAAAAAAAAATAAAAAAAAAAAGTTTTGCCTGTACATACACAATAACTACATTCAAATTACCAATCATAGTAAAGAGTAAGGTGCCCACATATTGACTTATAAACCATTTTAAACCGTATATGCCAATAATCAGGCCATGTACAGAAAGCAGATTATTTCTGAAACAGATATTCCCTGGGATATCAATTGCCTGGAGAGTGAATTCAATCATATGATGGCTACATTGCCCATGTAACAGCATAGTTTTTTCTTTTGTTATTAGTAGAGAAGAGTGAAATCAAGAGTTTTCACTGCACTTTGGTATAAATCAGGTGATTTGGGCATAATTTAGCTTTTTTTGGTAAAATGCCCTGAAGTAAATAAGGAAGACTAAAAGAAGATGGTCTTCTGTGGTTTGTAAGTGTATAATGGGCCTTATATGGCTTCTAAAGGGTCAATGAGACTCTTTTAAATTATTCTGAATCTTTTTTCTTGAACCACAATAGCAGCATCATTAGCTGATACATTTGACACTGAGGAACCCTAATAATTCTAAGTAAATGTGTGCAATTTGTTGTTACGAATTGAAATTCATTCAAAATTTTTGTTATTTGGAGATTCGGTTGTATCCGAATTTCTGAATCACAATAGCAACAAATTTCAATGAATACAAAATAAATGATAAAGAAACAAAATATCCAAATTTGAAAATTAATTTGAATTTGAAAATATATGGCAACATATTGCAATAAATACAGTAAGGTATAAAAGTGAAATAAGATGATGATTCCTAGATAGGCTTCTTTATAGAATAGAATAGAACAGAACAGAAAAGAATAGAAAATAGAAGAAAAGAATAGAATAAACAGAATAAGAAAGAATAGAAAAGAATAGACTAGAACAGAATAAAACAAAATAGAATAAAAAATAAAGAAATAGAATAGAACAGAATAGAATAGAAAATAAAATAATAGAATAAAATAGAAGTGAATAGAATAGAACTGAATGGAAAGGAATGGAATAGAATAAAATAGAACGAATATAGCCCTCTTCTGAAATTAGAATTTGGAATCAATTCTAAAATAACAAATACACATAAGAAATGAATCTATATATACAAAAATTCTGAAAACTAATCATTCTAACATAACTAATATGATGAAATGAAAATATTAACTTATCGAATGAATCCTAAAGGAAACGAAACACATTTTTTATGCACATTGCTAATTCTAATGCTAAAACAGCTTAATGCTAACACTAAAAGTTTTGACAAACACATGTGATCGCCATTTCAGTGCTGACATCATAATCACATGACATTGTTTATAAACAAAACGTTGAGGTGAAAATTAAAGTTAAGACTGGGTTAGCATTAGGACAATGTCACACCCATGATCTTATTGCTGGTGATAACTCATCAGCAGCAGGATAATTAAAAAGTACTGTGAAAATACTTCAGCTACTTTCACACTGATCTGTAGCATATCACGTTTTTGCAGGATTTTTACCTAGTTCGCAGTACATTTTTTATAGGACATGTGATTCAAAAACCACACTAAACATGCAATGCGGGTTCATTTGTGATGCATTTTATACAGTGGGGATCGAAAGTTTGGGCACCCCAGCTAAAAATTTGTATTAGTGTGCATAAAGAAGCCAAGAAGCCATCATTTACACTTTCAAAATAACAGAAAACAAAAAATGGCGTCTGCAAAAGTTTGGGCACCCTGCAGAGTTAATATCTTGTACTGCCCCCTTTGGCAAGTATCACAGCCAGCCAAGAGTCTTTCAATTCTTGTTTGAGGTATCTTTGCCCATTCTTCCTTACAAAAGTCTTCCAGTTCTTTGAGATTTCTGGGCTGTCTGTCACGCACTGCTCTTTTAAGGTCTATCCATAGATTTTCAATTATGTTGAGGTCAGGAGATTGTAAAGGCCATGGCAAAACCTTCAGTTTACGCCTCTTGATGTAATCCCCCGTGGATTTCGAGGTGTGTTTAGGATCATTATCCATTTGTAGAAGCCATCCTCTCTTTAACTTCAGCTTTTTCACAGATGGCATCAAGTTACCATCCAAAATTTGCTGAAATTTTATTGAATCCATTTTTCCTTCTACTCGTGAGATGTTCCCTGTGCCACTGGCTGCAACACAACTCCAAAGCATGATTGATCCAACCCCATGCTTAACAGTTGGACAGAGGTTCTTTTCATTAAATTCTGTGCCCCTTCTTCTCCAAACGTACCTTTGCTCATTTCGGCCAAAAAGTTCAATTTTAACCTCATCGGTCCACAGAACTTGTTTCCAAAATGCATCAGGCTTGTCTATATGTTCATTTGCAAAGTTCAAACGATGATTTTTGTGGTGAGGACGTAGAAGAGGTTTTCTTCTGATGACTCTTCCATGAAAACCATATTTGTACAAGTATCTCTTTATAGTGGAATAGTGTACCACAACTCCAGTGTCTGCCAGATCTTTCTGGAGGGATCGTGCAGTCAAACGTGGGTTTTGAATTGGTTTTCTCACAATCCTGCAAGCTGTTCTGTCTGATATTTTTCTTGGTCTTCCAGATCTTGCTTTTACTTCCACTGTTCCTTATGACTGCCATTTCTTAATTACATTCCGAACAGAGGATATTGACATCTGAAAACGCTTTGCTATCTTCTTATAGCCTTCTCCAGCTTTGTGACCGTCAACTATTTTCAGTTTCAGTTTTCTAGACAACTGCTTAGAAGAACCCATGGTGCTGATTGTTGGGGCAAGGTCAGATGAGTCTGGGCATTTAAAACCTTTAAGATTGACATCACCTGGTTTTCCCAGACGATGATTGAGAACAATCCATGACACTGGCAGGTCTCAGCTTTGCAAAGGGGGCAGTGCATGCTATAAAGTCTGCAGGGTGCCCAAACTTTTGCAGACGCCATTGTTTTGTTTTCTGTTATTTTGAAAGTGTAAATGATGGAAATAAAATCTAACTTTTGTTGACATATTATAAAAATGTCTAATCTGTAATTTGATGGCTTTTGGAGATTTTTCCATCTTTCCTTGGCTTCTTTATGCACATTAATACAAATTTTTAGCTGGGGTGCCCAAACTTTCGATCCCCACTGTAGGTGTTTTAGCCATGCTCTCCATTCATTTCAATGTGGAAGTGCGCATCAAACCTGTACTTAAAATGCAGCAAGCAGAGTCTTGAAAAATGCAGCGGACCCGCAATGGAGCAGTTTGAAGACTTTCATGAGGATTACATGGTCACACATTTTTCTTCCACTTTTTTTATCGCAAAAGTGGAAAAAATGGATCAGTGTAAAAGCAGTCTTACCTGTTTCCACAGGTCTTTCCCACCCTGATGGATATGATGCAGAATGTCACTAGCCAGCAAGAAAATGGCACTTTGCAGTGAAAAAGCAACCTATACAAACAGGCGAGTATTTTCCGCATACAAAAATATAAAGCCACAAAATTAGACAGGAAAGCCTAAATAGCCACTCTCTGTCTCATCACATGTATGGGTGTGGGTTATGACCAAACATAAGGCAAAAACAAAAAACAGCTGCAAAGAACAGACTGTGCTAAGCCAGAGCAGTGTTTAAGGAAATGAGTACAAAACTTTATTACAAAACTTAATCAAAAATATTTAAAGGGAACCTTTCAAAGGTGGACAGACACAAACACAATAGTCATAAAAAAATAAGCAGTCGGGACTGCAACGTCAGCAAGCAATCGGTGACATCAAGCGAAAACAGGTGGCGCACACCACCTAGTGCATTATCCAAGGTTTATTGCAAAGAGTAAAAAATAATAAAAACATACTCACAAACAAAGCATGTATCTAAAAAGCATAGAAAAATGACGATGGCCACAACGGCAGGCAAGGTGTCCCCACTGTCAGTGCGGTGAAATGGCTGACGCGTTTCGGGGACTAATCCATTTCATCAGAGCTAATGACCAGCCTCTGATGCAGATGTGTAATGGATGAAAAGTGGGAGCCTTGCTGGTGATGCCCAGCAAAGGCTCCCACTTTTCATCCATTACACATCTGCATCAGAGGCTGGTCATTAGCTCTGAGGAAAGGGATTCGTCCCCGAAACGCGTCAGCCATTTTTGACCGCACTGACAGTGAGGACACCTTGCCTGCCGTTGTGCCATCGTCATTTTTCTATGCTTTTTAGATACATGTTTCGTTTGTGAGTATGTTTTTATTATTTTTTACTCTTTACAACAAACCTTGGATAATGCACTAGGTGTGTGCGCCACCTGTTTTCTCTTTTTATCCAGTGGCTGATTTCCCCGTCTGAGGAGGGCTGCACCCCTGAAGCATTTCCTTTGGTTTTTGCTGTCCTGATACCCTTGGCTTCTCTTTTGGCTCTGCATATCCTGAGGCGCTGGAGAGTACATACGATAATCAGTGACATCAATTATAGCAGCTGAGGACCAAAAGGTGCTCAAATAAATGCCACAGAATGAGGACTCCGGCATCCCATAAGACCAAAGAACTTAGGCATGCACATACTAAAAGTATGAGTCTCCAAATCAACAGTCATTATAATGTAGCTACCCCTTTTGATTCAATTTAAAGCTGCCTCATGCAATAAATGGATGAATGAAGGTGTTCGACTTGACCAGAAGGTAACATGGTTAAGCTCAATGTAATTAATTAACAATAGTAAAAAGGCTCCAACAGTTCCAATGGTAGAATCAATAGGTCAATCCATTAGGCAATGAAGAAACAAGTGTGCATAACTGTGGGATAAAGTATGGAGCAGGCATAGGTAGCAATATCATTCACAAGCTTAAGCCAAGAAGCATGGTCATGTGCATGGAAATGGTCACCATCCTAGTTCTAGCAGGTAACTTCCAAGAGGTGTCCACATCATATCCTACAGTGGAAGTTAGAAAACTTGCGATTTAGTGACCAGGCTATGTGAAGCTAGTATAAGTCCTGTTTGCAAAATAATAAGCACAGAACAAGAAGTTTAGCAGCTCAGCATTAAGGTGGTACTTAGAGCAAGTCCAACGATAGAGGGAGAGAGAAATTGTGTTGTCGATGAGAAAGGTCACATGTAGATCACTCACCAGGAGTATACCACACACTTACTGCCACTTCATGGGAACACAGGACAATGATCAATCTCTCGAAAGTCCTTCTTTAAACACTGCATGCATAGAGCTACTGATTCACCCTCATAAATGTGGTCAAATCACCGCTCATGGTTTGCCTCTTGCATGGAAAGGACTGACCAAGTTTTCCAGTGCTCCGGGTGTTACACACACATAGTTCCAAGCCGGCCTTGCATATTCAATCACATGTAGTGATGCTTGCAGACATCGCATCCAGATGCAATGGTGTCACTACATTGACGCATTTCATCCACCAATCACCGCAGACTTTGTCAGTATTTTTCTGCCCTGCCATGTCATGCATAGTGATTCAGTTGCCAGTGAAAGATTTGCAAGCTTGTTAATGCATGTTTTGCCCAAGCCTAATTAAATTTGATGCTAATTTTGAATACATTTCACTGTGAAGTCATTTTTGGCAAAACCACTCTGATCATCCCTAGTCCCTGGTGCAATTCAAAAAAAACTGATCCAGATTCCCTTCTCAATGCATCAAAACCAAATGAGGTCTGGCCACCCAGTTGTCACATGTGGGTGTCCTTGCATAGTCAATGGAATAAAAGTCATAGCTAGTTTAATACAGTGGTAAAGGTTTTCTGCTACCTTGACAGTCCAAGAGACTGTTTAAATACAATGTAGGCACCTGACATGTATGAATGGCTTTTTACTACACTTCCCAGAATCCAGAAAATTTCCTCTGTAAGTCAGGAAAAAGGCATTTGTCTGTATAAGGTAATCGGGCCACAATACCTCCTACCTTTTGATCTCCAAGACTGCCTAAGAATATTGCCAGAGGAGGATCTCTGCATGTAAATCTAGTAAGGAAAGATTCTACTCACATTTTGATAAAGTCATTAAGTTCTGCTGACCACAGTTCTGGCTGACGTAGGGTTGGTGGTGGGTTCCTACAAAAACATATAAAAATTATTATCATAGAAGCTGGATATCTCTTGTAAATAAAATTGAATTCACACTTCCAAAAAAAAAGAATAATTGTTTGTGTTGTATTTTATAAAGCAACTCCATCAAAAAGCTCCCCAGCTTCATGACAACGCTGACTTTTCAGCTGATTTACCACTGTCACTAACATAAGTCAGTACCCCATGCATTTGTAATCAGGTACAGGGCACCTGGTACAGCATTTCAAAGCTTGAATCCCCTAGACTGTTTTTCAGAGGCACACCAGGGATGGGAGACCAGACGCTTGTCTGGGAAGGAAAGTTCAGCATTTCCCTGACATGCCTAAAGTTGTGGGAGATCTTCTGCTGTGGTAAAAATCCAAATGTCCTACAACATCACAAATGGAGAATTGATTTTCATTTCATATAATAAGACATTGCTAAGAGGTTTTTTGCTCCTTACCAACCCTTCAGTTAGAACTTACCATCTTGATAACCAGCTTCCCCTGCTTGGAGAACAAAACTTAAAGTCCTTTTCCCCCTAGGTGCTGCATGTTTGGAAGATAAACTCTTGTTCTGCTTGGGAACCCAAAGGCTTGATCGGTAACCATTCATGATTAACCAATCAAGGTGCTCACAGAGAACAGGGATAATGTAAAAAATACATCTTTTTGGCTGATTTCTACGTTGTACAGTTACAAGAAAAAGTATGTGAACCCCTTGGGATTACGTGGAGTTTTGCATGAATTGGGCATAAAATGTGCTCTGAACGTCATCTAAGTCACAATAGAAGAACACAGTCTGCTGAACATAATACTACACAAACATTAGATGTTGCCTTGGTTAATTGCACATAACACGTAAACATTCACAGTGCAGGGAGGAAAAAGTATGTGAGGCCCTAGCTTAATGACTTCTCCCAGAGCTAATTGGAGCCAGGAGTGAGCCAACCTTGACTCCAATCAGTGTGATGATATTGGATGTGTTGCTGACAGCTGTCCTGCCCTTAAAAAACACACACCTGTTTTGGGTTTACTGGTTTTAAGAAGCACTGTCTGATGTGAACCATGCCTCGCAGAAAAGAGCTCTCAGAAGACCTACGATCAAGAATTGTTGACTCGCATGAAGCTGGAAAGGGTTACAAAAGTATCTCCAAAAGCCTTGATGTTCATGTGTCCACGGTAAGACAGACTGTCTACAGATGGAGAAAGTTTAGCACTGTTGCTACTCTCCCTAGACGTGGTCGTCCTGTAAAAATGACTGCAAGAATGCTGCATGAGGTAAAGAAGAATCCCAGAGTGTCAGCTAAAGACCTACAGAAATCTCTGGCACATGCTAACATTTTTGTTGACACATCTGCAATAAAGAAAACATTAAACAAGAATGGAGTACATGAGACCAACCACGGAGGAAGCCATTGCTGTCCAAAAAGAATATTGCAGCACGTTTGAAGTTTGCAAAAGAGCACCTGGGTGTTCCACAGCACTACTGGCAAAATATACTGTGGACAGATGAAATCAGGATTGAGTTGTTTGGGAAGAACACACAACACTATGTGTGGAGAAAAAAAGACACAGCACACCAACATCAAAACCTCATCCCCACTGTAAAACATGGCGGAGGGAGCATCATGGTTTGGGGCTGCTTTGCTGCCTCAGGGCCTGGGCGGATTGTTGTCATTGATGGGAAAATGAATTGCAGAGTTTATCAAGACATTTTGCAGGAAAACGTACGACCATCTGTCCGCCAACTGAAGCTCTGCAGAGGATGGTTGATGCAACAGGACAATGACCCAAAGCATACAAGTAATTCAACAAAACAATGGCTGCAACAGCACAGAATACGCCTTCTGGAGTGGCCCAGTCAGAGTCCTGACCTCAACCCGATTGAAATGCTGTGGCATGACCTTAAGAGAGCGATTCACACTAGACATCCCAAGAATATTGCTACACTGAAACAGTTTTGTGAAGAGGAGTGGTCCAAAATTACTCCAGATCGTTGTGCAGGTCTGATCTGCAACTACAGGAAACGTTTGGTTGAGGTTATTGCTGCCAAAGGAGGGTCAACCAGTTATTAAGTCCAAAGGTTCACATACTTTTTCCTCCCTGCACTGTGAATGTTTACATGCTATGTGCAATTAAACCATGGCAACATCTAATGTTTGTGTAGTATTATGTTCAGCAGACTGTGTTCTTCTATTGTTGTGACTTAGATGACGTTCAGAGCACATTTTATGCCCAATTCATGCAAAACTCCACGTAATCCCAAGGGGTTCACATACTTTTTCTTGCAACTGTATCTTGTTCCACATTACACAGCTGTGAGAACAGAATTAGATCTGTGTGACAAACTATCAGAATAAAAAAAAGTATTCAAAAAAAGAAAATGTAAAATAATAAATGTATTCAAATTATAATAATGTTAGTTGGTTAGTTAACTAGTTAGTTAGTTAATCAGTTAGTTAGCTAAATGGCTAGGTAATGGGTTAGTATTTTAATTGAGGGATAATAATAAGTTTATTAGTGTTAGGTCAATTAATTATAATTTTTTTTAATAAAAGGTGAATTACAGCCACTGAACTCAAAACACGGTACTGGAAAATGCCTAATATCTATAAATCTAATATAAACACACTTGTTTATGGACCATACAGCACTGACATATGTATTAAGACCTACACAAAATCTGAGGCCCCTGTATTCAGCGTAGATAAAAGGAAATAATTTAGTGAGCATCTTTGGAATAGTTTTATTTATACAGAATAGATTAGACATTAAATTAGAATGGCATTAGTTTCGCATTTAGGGCTAGTTTACACTACATGCATTCCAGTGTTTTTTTCGGCATCCATAATGCATGTAGGTTACATGGTTTTTAATGGTATAGTTCACACTAGTTCTTGCAGTTCCAGTGCATTCCAGTACCAGAAAAAAAAAGTAGAACATGCTGCATTTTTCCTACAGAGAACTGTACTGGAACGGGGTAAAATGCAAAAACACACCGAAATGCACCTACACACATCAAAATCACACCAGTCCCCAGAATAGCGAAAAAAAAAAACAAGAAAAAAGGAGAGAAAAATAATTTGGAAACGCATCAAAAATGTACCAGAAGGCATCAAAAATGCATTAAAAGCACACATGCAGAAATCTATCCGGAATGGATCTGGAGTGAATTTTTGTGGTGTGAACCGGCCCTAAGTCCATTTCCCTGCTTATGATAAAAAATACACCAATCAGACATAACACTAAAGCACTAAAGTCAGTAACAGGTAAAGTCAATAAATATGATTATCTTGTTACAATGGCATCTGAAATTCTGTGGTATACTGTATAAATGATAACTGTGTAAAAAAAATGGGCACCGCAGTGCATGGGGCTGCACAGCCGCAGACCGGTCAGGGTGCTCATGTTGACCTGTGTCCGAAGCCAAAAATGCCTACAATGGACACGTGAGCATCAGAACTGGACCACAGACCAATAAAAGAGTGGCCGGACCTGATGAATCACATTTTCCTTTACATCATGTGAATGGACTGGTGCATATATGTAGCTTGAATGAGAAGAAATAGTGGCATTCCTACTCAGCAGTAAAAAAATCTTGAAATCTTTATTTAAAGATGAAACATACAGACACAACACAGCTCCATGTACGTTGATTGCCGGGGGAAGAGATAGCACCAAGATGAAGGATGGGAACAAGGCAAGCCAGCAGAGGCATTGTAATGTTTTGGACAATGTCCTGCTTGGGAACTGCCATTTATGTGGGTGTTACTTGATACGTACCACCTATCTAACCATCATTGCTGACCAAGTACACCCCTTCATGGAAATGGTATTCCTGATGGCAGTGGCCTCTTTCAGCAGGATAATTCCCTGCCACACTGCAAAAATGGATCAAGAATGGTTTGAGGAACACAACAATGAGTTTGAGGTGTTGACTTGGCTGCAGGGGCGGACTGACCATTTGGAAACTCGGGCACTGCCCGAGGGCCCAGGGTCAGTAGGGGGCCCCATGAGATGCCCCTGGTACCTTTTTCATAGGCTTTTTTTCGAGTTTGGGCAAGGACACAGGGGCCCCATGATCCCCTATTGCCCGAGGGCCCCATGAGTTGTCAATCCGCCCCTGCTTGGCTGCCAAATTCTCCAGATCTCAATCCAAATGAGCATTTGTGGGAAGTTCTGGAAAATCAAATATGATCCATGGATGCCCCACCTCACAACTTACAGGTCCTAAAGGATCTGCTACTGACGTCTGGGTGCCAGATACCTTCAAAGATCTAGTGGTGTCAATGCCTTGAAGGGTCAAGGCTGTATTGGCAGCAAAAGGGGGACCTATTCAATATTAGGTGGGTCATCAGAATGTTATGGCTGATCAGTGTATATTCAGGGTATATAAAAACAAATGAACAAATTAAAAATAGTTAAACTCTTAAATAATTGCGTAAAAATAATTTTGTATGAAAAGCAATAAAAAAGTAATTGTTATATAAATTACTGCATACCAAAACTTCAGAATTTGGTCTGGTCACAAAGGTTTTCATAACGCAGGACATGAAAATGTTAAAAAAAGCAGTAAAAATGCAACAATGATATGCAAAGGGAAGTAATTCAATGCAAGTAAACAAAATCCACTTTTAAAGGAGGAAATATAGAGGCTGCCTTTGCTGACCTCTAAGTGTTAGATGCCTGGCTGACCCTTTAATACTTTGAGTACTCAGTCTAAATGTAGAAGCTGCAGGGTCATTCCAGCTCAGTAACTCAAAGTATTAAAGCCAGACAATTAGCATTTTCAGCAAGAGCTCAGAAACTGCCGCCTCCGTATTCTGTCATTACAAGGCTCCTTTAATGCATCTGCTCTTAGTACTGTTCTCTAACAGGTGTTAAAATACTTTTAAAAACAAATAATAAATAAAACATACCTAGGAATTTTAAAAAGGGCTCTCATTGGATGTAAGTCAGCCAATGGAGGATCACCATCACTGAGCTCAATGGCTGTGATACCTAAAGACCAGACATCACAGCGTGCATCATATGTTGTATCTACTTGCTGCTCACATGCAATCACCTAGCGAAACAAGACAAAAATGGAAAGTATTATGTGGGGTCTTTTGGACACATTAGTGAATTCCTTACAATTAACACTTAGGTTCACACTGATGGTCTGATTGGGTCAGTTTTTCAGGTGGACCCAATCAGACCATCCATAGCGCTCTATGGAGAGGTGGGTGCCAGCGGATATGTGTCCGCTGACATCAGCCAGAATCCAATCTGATCCTGTATGCTAAAAACAGACGGATGGTGACGTGTTCTTCATCCATCCGGTGGATCAAATGACATTTGGGTGGAAACGGACAGGTGGTCCGGACAGGTGGTCAGTTTCCATCCAGCCACCACATAGAAAACAGTGGGCTGTGTCTGTGTCTGCTCTGCAGTGGAAGGCACAGACCTGTCATCCACTTGCTCAGTGGAGATCAGCAGAGAGATTCCCCACTGAGCAAGCAGATCCACTGACAGGTCTATCTTGTCTGAAAAGGACCTTAAAGCCCAACTCTGGTCTCCACCTGGTTTGTAGATTTAACAATAAACATAAAAAGGTATCTGAGAAGCGATGGTCACTGTTTTTTTATTTCAGTGACTAAAGTTACCATGACCAGGTTTCATATTTCTGAAATACGTACTTTAAGCATTCAAGCATTTCTAAAGGCAACTTTCAAAATTAAAATAACAAAGTGTTATGCTTACTTGCTCCGAACCTCCTTTTTTGGATCTCCCACTGGCACTCTCTACGCCTCTTGTTCTGTGTCTGCTCCCATAGCAAATGGATTGTTAAGAGGGCAGATGTGTGGACTCGATCCCGAGCCAGGCTGTGTGTGTCCATAAACACATAGAGTGCAGCTTGACCCTGTCCCTGCTCCCTTCTCACAGCATTTGATTGACAGTAGCAAGAGCCAATGGCTCCCGCTGCTGCCTTGGTCCCTGCGAGTAGAGGGAGAAGAGATACAGCACTTGATCGACTGAGGTAAGTATTTAGGGAGGTAGAGGAGCATAGCAAGTTGTAAAATGTTTTTTTGCCTTAATGCAGGGAATACATTATGGTAAAATACGTTTTAGATTTAGAACCACTTTACCAGCCCCAGCGGTTTACTTGCTTCGAGACTACTATACTATATGTGTGCTTAATACAATTGGTACTTCATGATAATACACTGCTCAAAAAAATGAAAGGAACACTTTGAAAACACACCAGATCTTAATGGTGAAAAATATCATGCTGGATATCTATACTGATATGGACTGGGTAATGTGTTGGGAATGTAAGGATACCCCATCGTTTGATGTAAATGAAAATTATCAACCTATAGAGGACTGAATTCAAAGACACCCCGAAAATCAAAGTGAAAAAATGATGCAGCAGGCTAGTCCATTTTGCTGAAATTTCATTGCTGCAACTCAAAATGGTCCTCAGTAGTTTGTATGGCCCCCACGTGCTTGAATGCATAACTGGCATGCATGGCATGCTCCTAATGAGATGACGAATAGTATCCTGGGGTATTTCCTACCAAATCTTGACCAGGGCATCAATGAGCTCCTGGACAGTCTGAGGTGCAACCTGGCGGTGTTGGATGCACCAAAACATGACATCCCAGAGGTGTTCTAGTGGATTTTGGTCAGGCGAGCGTGGGGACCATTCATTGGTATCAATTTCTTCATCCACCAGGAACTGCCTGCATACTCTCGCAACATGAGGCCGGCATTGTCGTGCACCAGGAGGAACCTAGGACCCACTGCACGAGCGTAGGGTCTGACAATGGGTCCAAGGATTTCATCCCGATGCCTAGTGGCAGTCAGGGTGCCATTGTCTAGCCTGTATAGGTCTGTGCATCCCTCCATAAATATGCCTCCCCAGACTATCACTGACCAACCCCCAAACGGTCATGCTGAACAATGTTGCAGGCAGCATAACGTTCTCCGCGGTTTTTCCAGACCCTTTCACGTCTGTCACATGTGCTCAGGATTAACCTGCTCTTATCTGTGAAAAGCACAGGGTACCAGTGGCGGACCTGCCAATTCTGGTGTTCAATGGCAAATGCCAGTCAAGCTCTATGGTGCCGGGCAGTGAGCACAGGGCCACTAGAGCACATCGGTAACCCTCATGAAGTCTGTTTCTGATTGTTTGGTCAGAGACATTCACACCAGTGGCTTGCTTGAGGTAATTTTTTAGGGCTTTATCAGTGCTCATCCTGTTCCTTCTTGCACAAAGGAGCAGATACAGGTCCTGTTGATGGGTTAAGGATGTTCTATGGCCATGTCCAGCTCTCCTAGAGAAACTGCCTGTCTCCTGGAATCTCTTCCATGCTTTTGAGACTGTGCTGGGAGACACAGCAAACCTTCTGGCAATGGCACGTATTGATGTGCCATCCTGGAGGAATTGGATTGCCTGTGCAACCTCTGTAGGGTCCATATATCGCCTCATGCTACCAGTAGTGACACTGACCCTAGCCAAATGCAAAACTAGTGAAAAAAACTCAGGAAAGATTAGTAGGGAAAAAAAGGTCAGTGGCCTCCATTCATCTCATTGTTGCCTATCTAGCGCACCTGTTGTTAATTTCATTAACACCAAAGCAGCTGAAACTGGTTAACAACCCCCTCTGCTACTTAACTGACCTGTCAATATCCCAGGAGTTTAACTGACT